AGGCATGACGAAGCGGATATCGTCCTCTTTTGGAAGGTCAACCAAAGTATTTTCACTTTCACAACGAAACACACAGCGTCTCGACATGGCGGCGGCAACAATACTACAGCGAGAATAAAAGTTAAGCCTTCTTTACGTGAACATTTGGGGCGTTATGCAAATCTTCCCACATCGTGATGTAGACATGTGGGGGCGTGTTAGAACGAGCCGTTTTAGGTAGGTGTGGCTGACTCTTAACTTTTATAAAGAATATCTCTTTGGATTTGAGACTTTAGTCTTTGCAACTTTAAAGATCTTCTTTATGCACCAAGAGCTTGTAACACTCCAAAGAGAAAGGAAAAATTTAAATCGCATCATATGACCCCTTTAATGATTCCGTTATGTGCTCTTACTATGTTTAAGAAGCTAAACAGGAGGTTCTTACTTTCTTCACGTATCCTTGGATGTGCTCCGTGGTGGGAATCTGGTCTGCAGACATGCATTCCTCCAGTTTGAGATGGTACGGCTCAAAGTCGGCCGGATTCTTCTCCCAGCTAATGAGAAAGGGGAACACTGGTTTAATGTCAAACATACCACTCTTAAACAGGTGCGATATATCACCAACAAACTTGAAAAAGTGCATTTTAGCGACCTGATTATGCAGCAAAGAAGGAAAACGTTAGTGATAAGATGGAGAACATCTGTTCACGAGGTTTATTATTGGACACATTTTTGCACAGCATTGGCAAGAAATTAGCTCTAGAAAGACACATTTGCACTAAATGAGCTGGTGTAATACTTGAGTTCTGCTTTCTGTCTCTGAGGTGATTTCCTTGGGCATTGTTAAAGACGAAGTGTGTCATTTATTCAATGTTAAAATACTTTCAGCCCCAGTTTAATATGCAGAGACAACTGTAAGTAAGATACTTGTAGGTTTAGTAAAGTCTCCCTACGCACTCTAAGAAAAAAAAGGTACAAAATCTTTCAATGGGGCATTACCCTTTCAAAAGGTACTAAAACGTATCATTTAGGAACTAATATGTATCTTTAAAGGAATAGTTCACCAAAAAATTACAACTTGCTGAAAACCCTCAGGCCATCGAAGATGTAGAGGAGTTTGTTTCTTCACAGGAACAGATTTTGAAAAAAATGTAGCATTCCACTTGCTCACCAGTGGATCATCTGCAGTGAATGGGTGCCGTCAGAATGAGAGTCCAAACAGCTGATAAAAACCTTACAATAATCCACAAGTAATCCACACCACTCCAGTCCATCAATTAATGTCTTGTAAAGAGAAAAGCAGCGTGTTTGTAAGAAACACTGACGGCACCCATTCACTGCAGAGGATCCATTGGTGAGCAAGTGAAGTAATGCTGAATTTCTACAAATCTGTTCTGATGAAGAAACATACTTCATCTACATATTGGATGGCTTGAGGGTGAGTAAATTAAAATTTTTGGGTGAATGATTCCTTTAAGGTACCATTATGTAACTTTTAGGCGTAAATAAGGTAAAAAGGTGTACCTTTTGAAAAGGTGCCACCACAGTGACAGCTTTTATACTTCTTTTTTCTGTTTTGACTCGATCAATGGTGTTAGTTCTTTATAATTATGAATGATCTGGACTCAAAAGCTCTATTTTTCTCTCTCCAGAGGAACCCCGCAGAGATCCCCATGAGGTGCTGATCTCAGGGACCCATTCCAGCGTCTTCTCCTCCCATCTTCTGTGCGCGTGTGACATTTGGGACAGAGATTAAACCCACTAACCCAGAGCTCTATCTAACCACAAAGTCGCAGTGCAGCAGGGCCCTGACTCACCTCTGTCACACACACACACACACACACACACACATGAATTCACACTTCCCGCCAACACACGGCCATCTGCTGCCTGAACACATTCCCCTCATGGTGTTCCTGCTGCTCGTACGACTGGATCCTGCAGTCTGGCTTTAACATGAAGATAAACAAATCTGAGCAGCGTATGAGCGGCAGAATGAAAGGCCTGTCTATTTAACAAGTTAATTTAGTGTAATTAACAATAAAAAATGAAAAACATGTTTTTTTGCAATTAATCATGGCCCCTGACATGTTGGTGAAATATGTAATGTAAATAATAAGATTTTCTACCATCTGAGCAATTGCAAGTCCACGGTCCAAACGCTTGTGATAATACACAAAAAAATCTCACTACAAACACAAGTTTGGGTTCAATACGATTATTTTATTTATTTATTTTTTAAGAAATTAATACTTTTATTCAGCAAGGATGCATTAAATTGATCAAAATGTAAACAGTAAAAGCATTTATATTATTACAAAATATTTCTATAAATGCTTTTGAACTTTCTATTCATTACAGAATCCTGAAGAAAAATTCACATTTTCCATAAAAATAAATAAATAAAACAATAATAAGAAATTAATCTTGAGCAGCAAATCAGCATATTAGAATGATTTCTGAAGAATCATGTGACACTGAAGACTGGAGTAATTATGCTGAAAATGCATCACAGGAATAAATTCAATTTTACAATATATTAAAAGAAAAAACGGTTATTTTAAAATGTAATAATATTTTATAATATTACTGTTTTTACTCTATTTATGATTAAGTAAATGGAGCCTTGGTGAACATTTCTTTCCAAATAAAAATGGAACATTTTAAAACCCTTTTGTAGCGCAGTACATGATTGACAGGTTTGCCAAGATCTTTGCTGTTCGACAAATTCGAATTTTGGAATGTTTTGGAACTTTTTTATACCTCTGTCTTCTATTTTGAATCGATACCAAGATCTCTAGGCTACTAACACACGAGAATGAAAATGTGAGGAGCAGGACACCTCAGCTTCTCCATTTGCTCTCCATTTGATCTCGATTTATTTTAAGAAATGAAATTTATGTTCAGTCACCCTATGCATCCTGTGGCCACTATAAACTGTTTCATTCAAAAGAACCACATACCGATTCTTCTTTTGTGTTCCACTGAAAAATATACCAGCATTAGGGAGAGTAAATAAAGATTTCTCACTTCTGCATGAACTATTCCTGTAAAGAGATTACATTTGTGATATTTCTTTCCTACAGGCTTAATGCACCTACAGAAGAGCGATCCACAGTTTTTGGCAGCGCCGAGGCTGTTTGTGGAAATGCTTTAGCGGTTTAAACAGCAGTAACTTTGACAGAAAAGATCCAGCCGCTTGCTCGCAGGAGTGCCGCTTCTGGGAATAAAAAGCTTTAAGCAACACTGATCTAGACTTCCTTCAGAAACAGTTTGCTCAAAGGTTTCTCTCAGACACGGATCTTAGACACAGCTGGGTTGCACTGTTGGCAAATGCCTGTTTGCCTGTGGATCATCTTAGTTTGTGTGTGCCGAATGTGTTTTCACCTCTCTCTCTCTCTCTTTGCCCACAGGAATGCTGGTGTGTATAGTATACAGGAATATCACTGGTGCTGTCAGATTCAGTGTTTCCGGGTCTGGAGGCAACATCCAGCTGTGTGCATGTGCAATTCGGTGGCATTGCCATGACAACAACCTTCGATGGGATCCATCAAACCTAGGTATCCCCATCTTTAATCGCTGCATTAATAATGTATCGCTTCTTTCTTGATGTCAGCTTATTTACAGAGCCATGAAAAATGTTATTCAAGCATATCGGCCTTAATGGTTTCTGGTCTGTACCGGTACCCCTGCGAGGTGCACAGCAATTATCAAAAAATGATGCATGAATCACCCACCCTCATCGCTGAAGTGGAACTGTAACTAAAATTGAACATGGGGGGCTTGACAGTTGACATTTGGAATTATAAACACAGTCAGCTACCGCACACATTCACCGCTAGGTTATAAGTAATGCCCGTCAAATCGCTTTAAAACTGGCCTGCCGACGCTAATCCCGAGACCCTGCTTCACAGTTGTGATGTTTGCGTTTACACGGGCCAGAAGTCAGGAGGAGCTCCTGCAGTAGCGGTGGGCCACATCTGGTTTGGGTGAGTTTTGGAGGGGAAACTGTAGCAATGTCACCCATATGAGCTCCACACACAGCGGCTAATCCTGATGTGGGAGAGCTGGGCCTGGATCCAGAGTGAATCCAGGGTGAATATTAAACACTGCTACATGTGATTGACTGATGCCTGAGCTTCATCCCGTTTCATCTGTAGCCTCTACCTCTACCATACTGGTACTTATTGACTCTCTAGCAGCTTCCTGTTTAAATTACTTTGAAGTGGGCAATATGACCAAAATCTTTAATGTGATATAAGTGATTTTTAACTAAAATATTTACCTACATGCAAGCAATTTTAACCATCTTTACCTTGAGACAAGTCATTTTTAACCAACATCTTTACCATGATACAAATAATTTTTAACCAAAATCTCTACCCCCAAAATATCAGTAATATTTAACCAAAATCTTTACCACGATATCAGTAATATTTAACCAAAATCTTTACCACGATACAAGTCATTTTCAACCAACATATTTACCACAATACAAATAATTTTTAACCAAAATCTCTCGATATCAGTAATATTTACCCAACATCTTTACCCCAATACATGTGATTTTAAACCAAAATTTTCCCATGGTATATCATGTAAAGATTTGTCAAAATTATTTATATCATGAAAAAATTATGGTTTAAAATCACATGTATTGGGGTAAAGATGTTGGTTAAATATTACTGATATCGAGAGATTTTGGTTGAAAATGACTTGTATCGTGGTAAAGATTTTGGTTAAATATTACTGAGATTTTGGGGGTAGAGATTTTGGTTAAAAATTATTTATAAGTCATTTTTAACCAAAATCTCTACCCCCAAAATATCAGTAATATTTAACCAAAATCTTTACCACTATACAAGTAATTTTTAATCCTAATCTTTACCCCAATATAAATAATTAACCAACATCTTTACCATAATACAAGTAATTTTTAACCAGAATCTTTACACCAATATCAGTAATTTTAACCAAAACCTTTACCACAATTTACAGTAATTTTCAATTCCAGCAAAGAACGCCATCATCTTATAGTAATTCAGTATGCAATTAGAGATGCTAACTGAAATTGAATACATACCCTATATTTCTCAACATTAAATAGCTATTTATTACATTTGGGAATTGTCACATCAGACTCTTTGACAACCGAATCGTATCTTCATTAATACTTTCTAACAATTGTCTCTTGCTTACAACACTGACCATTGTCTAAGTTTCTTATTTACTTTCTCCCTGCATGTGCCCGAGTCACTGTGGCACTGATATTTGTGTTTGACAACACTATAATTACAATATTTATAGCCCTAAAACTGCTCAATGTTAACGCATTAAGGCCATAACAGTATGACTTTCTGTAAAGCTGCTTTGAAATATGTGTATTATGAAAAGCACGTTACAAATAAAGTTGACACGACAAGTATTTCCGATAAAATCTCAAAAGATCTGAGCTGCTCTTCACTTTTAATAAATCTGCAAAAATGTCAACAATTCTGTGTTTTTCTGTCAATATGGGGTGCTGTGTGTACATTAATGAGGGAAAAAAATGAAC